GCTGGATCACCTGAGGTCAGGAGTTCAAGACCAGCCTGGCCAACATGGTGAAACCCCATCTCTACTAAACATACAAAATTAGGTGTGGTGGTGCGTGCCTGTAATCCCAGCTACTCAGGAGGCTGAGGCAGGAGAATCACTTGAACTCGGGAGGTGGAGGTTGCAGTGAGCCAAGATCATGCCACTGCACTCCAGCCTGGGCGACAGAATGAGACTCCATCTCAAAAAAAAAAAAAAAAATGAAAATAAAAGAAGGAGACAGAGTGTTCCAGGCAGAGAGAATGGGTATCAAAATGCCAGGCTGCGATAGGGCTGCGTGGCCCAGGGAAGACCCCCCTCATCCCCAGAGAAGGACACGCTATGTCGAAGGGGTTATGTTGTGTAGGTGGGTGGGGTAGGAGGGCCCCAAGAAAGAAAGATCACATGGAGCTGTGTCATCCAGAGAAGGGCCGTGAGTGACTGCCCACCACAGCCAGGGTCCCCTCTGTGCAGAGGATACCAGACTGAGAACAAGAAATCGACCTGCTGGATCTAGAGCTCTGTGACCCTGGGCAAGTCACTTTGCCTCTTTGATCCCTAGTCTTTTCTCTGGTGGAGATCCTATCCCAGGCAGTAGGACTCCCTCATGAGGTTGTGGAAAGAGTCAGATGCAGCCATGCCCCAGAATCCCACAGACGAGCTCCTGCCCTGTGCTGGCGGCAGCCCATTCCTGTGCCTGCTGTGTGGAATTGCTCTCCCACCTGCTGGATGTCACCTGGCACTCAGGGCCCCCTCCACTCTCTGCCTGCTCCTCACAGGTCATCGGGACCCTGGAGGAAGTCCACATGCCACAGAATGGGATCAACCACCCTGGTGTCACTGCTCTGGCCCAGGCTTTCGCCGTCAACCCCCTGCTGCGGGTCATCAACCTGAACGACAACACCTTCACCGAGAAGGGCGCCGTGGCCATGGCCGAGGTGAGGCGAGTGTGGCAGAGCCAGTTGCAACACGCAAGACAGAGGCTGGCGGCTGTCTTTCCAGGGAAGCCGGGGCTCCGTTTAGCAGGGACTGCTCTGTCCCCTGCCTGCCCCCTGGGTGTGTGCCCCATGGGTCCAGCTCTTTGAACACGTCCTAAACAGGGTTTCAGGTCACAAGGTAACCCGCGCCCTCCTCGGGCAGCTCCGATCCTTCATGCCACCTTCTGAGCTGCCTCTGTGGCCCCCAGCGGCTGGCGCTGGTTTGGTTCTCAGGCTGCTCCCCACATCTGTTTTCCTGGTTGATTTGTTCAGCAGCTGCTGTTTGTTTTGTTATTTATTACCACTTTTTGAGACAGAGTCTTACTGTTGCCCAGGCTGGTCTTGAATTTCTGGGCTCAAGTGATCCTCCCATCTCAACCTGAGTAGCTGGGATTACAGGTGCATGCCACTGTGCCCCGCCCAGCAGCTTTTTCTGAGCCCCCAGATAGTGCTTGGCTTTGTACTAAGTGCAGGCCACACAGGGTTGAGCCAAAGACTCTGCCTTCAGGGAGACCCTAGCTCAAGGAGGGAAGGAAGCTGCCGGTGGTAACAGTGCCAGGCTTTGAACGCAGTGGCTTCTTGGTTGCCAGGGCCCCGTGGCCCCACAGAAGGCTAGTCCGGCTGCCTATGTGTTAGCAGAGATGTGTGCAGGTGTTGGGGAACACGCCAGAAGGAAGTTCAAATCAGACTTAGGGCAGGCTTCCTGGAAGAGATCACATTTTGGCTAAATTGTATAGGATAGTGGTTTTGTTTTTTGGTTTTTGGTTTTTTTGAGACGGAGTCTCGCTCTGTCGCCCAGGCTGGAGTGCAGTGGTGTGATCTTGGCTCACTGCAAGCTCCACCTCCCGGATTCATGCCATTCTCCTGCCTCAGCCTCCTGAGTAGCTGGGACTACAGGTGCCCGCCACCACACCTGGCTAATTCTTTGTATTTTAAGTAGAGACGGGGTTTCACCGTGTTAGCCAGGATGGTCTTGATCTCCTGACCTCGTGATCCACCCGCCTCAGCCTCCCATAGTGCTGGGATTACAGGCGTGAGCCACCGTGCCCGGCCATAGGACAAGTGGTCTTTTTCTAGAGAGAGGGTGGGGGATGGGTGTTTCAGGCAGAGGGATCAGCTTATGTGTGGAAGGCCCAGAGACTCGGGCAGGAGCCTTGCTTGGTTGGTCTCAGGAAGAGTTCTGGCCGTAACGTGGGGAGTAGGGTGGAGGAGGTTTGGCCAGGGACCCAGAGACCTACAAGAAGACAGCAAAGCTAGTGACTTGCAGAGAAGGACAGTGTGTGGTGGCTGGTGTGGGATGTGACCGTGTGGGGCCCCCGGGGCTTGCTGAGGGCTGGGGTGTGGCCTGCACCCTCACTCTGGACCCTTACTTCCACCTTGCAGACCTTGAAGACCTTGCGGCAGGTGGAGGTGATCAATTTTGGGGACTGCCTGGTGCGCTCCAAGGGTGCCGTTGCCATTGCAGATGCCATCCGTGGTGGCCTGCCCAAGCTAAAGGTGCCAGCCTGGACGCCTGACGTCCTCCCTCTGGGGTCTGTGGGTGGTGGGGTGGCTGGGGGCGCAGGGGTCTGGTCTGAAGGCAGGCAGGCTGCATCCATATCCCAGCTCCCCCACTTCGGGCTCTGTGATGCTGTGTGAGCCTGCACACCCCTCTGAGCCATGGTTTCTTCATTTCTAAAGCGGGAGGCAGGGGGTGGTGTGCGTCACTGTCGTATAGTAAACACACTCAGTACGTGACTCGTCGTTGGTTGCAGGGCATTATTTTTGTTGTTGGTGTTATTCTTCCTGCCCACTTTGCCCAATCCTGAGGACAGAGCCTGCCATATTCTCACTTGGGGAAACTGAGGCTTAGAGTGGAACCTGATGTCCTGGCCTGGATTTCTGCCTGCCTCCAACCCTTCCTCTTATTTTCAGGAGCTGAACTTGTCATTCTGTGAAATCAAGAGGGACGCTGCCCTGGCTGTTGCCGAGGCCATGGCAGACAAAACCGAGCTGGAGAAGCTGGACCTGAACGGTAGTCAGATGGGGGAGGCCTCTGCACAGGTCTGCTGGGCTGGCCCTGGCACCCCGGGCTGACTGCTCTTCCCTCCCCTTGAGCAGGCAACACCCTGGGAGAAGAAGGCTGTGAACAGCTTCAGGAGGTGCTGGAGGGCTTCAACATGGCCAAGGTGCTGGCGTCCCTCAGGTAGGGAACTCAGGGTGGGCGGCCCCAGAGGTCGGGGTCAGGCCTTTCCTTTCTTTCTTTTTCCTGAGACGGAGTCTTGCTCTGTTGCCCAGGCTAAAGTACAGTGGTGCGATCTCAGCTCACTGCAGCTTCCACCTCCTGGGTTCAAGCGATTCTCCTGCCTCGGCCTCCCAAGTAGCTGGGATTACAGGCACCCACCACCACACCTGGCCCCTTTATTTGTTTCTACTTGTATTTATTCAGAAATGTTGGTTGCACTCCTGTTATGTACCAGGTCATATACTAGGCATCAGGGCTATAAGGGTGGGACACTCAGGGTTTCTGTCTCATGATGGGGGAGACAGAATGAGTTGTCCATTCAACAGAGGATCTCGTCCGGGCTTAGCGGGACCACCCTGTAGAGTGGTGGAGTTGGGGAGGCCTCTGAAGGGGTGAGGCCAGATCTCATCCTGATGTGGTAGGGCCTGGGGAGTGATAGGGGTGGGAGGTGGGGGTAGCCAGAAGGGGCTGCACTCAGTATTGTTCTTAAGATGCTGACTCTAGAAAGGAAGAGACTGTGGGGCGTGGGGAGTCTACCTGGAGGCGAAGGTGGGTGACCGGGGAGTGGCCATCTTCTGGATCCAAGTCCGGTTGGGCCATCAGCACCTGGCTCCCTGTACTCCTTTCATCTCCAAGTCAGCCTCATTCATGCGTCAGATACTCAGTCGTGTCTCCTCGGTGCTAGGCCCTGAGCTGAGGCTGGGAACTGGGGACTCCGAGGTGGGCTGAACCTCACAGGTCCCACAGTCCCTCGGAAATGGACCAGCCTTCCTGTAGGGCAAGGACACCCCTACTCTTCTTCCTCCCCCATGCCTGTAGCTTCCTGAGGTCATGTGGATATGGGCGCCCCCTGCCCTGGCATCTCAACCTGCGCAGTGTTCCTGCCAAGCCCTGGGCTCTGGGTGTGACAAAGCTGTCTTCGTTTTCTGTCTCCCCATGAAACCTGGGGCTCCTCGAGGACAGGAACAAGATGTGATTCTATTGTGTCCACAGCGTGGATTTCGCTGGTGATCTACCTACCCCTGCCCTGGGAGCAGGTGCTCCCACCCCACCAGGCTCTCCCCCGCCTGCCTGAGCTGAGGTCTCTGGGCTCATGGAGCCAGGCCTTGCAGCCAACCTGGGCTGCTGGGTAGAGAGGATCTGCTTCAGCCAGCTCTTTCTGCAGTGATGACGAGGACGAGGAGGAGGAGGAAGGAGAAGAAGAAGAGGAAGCCGAAGAAGAGGAGGAGGAGGAAGAGGAGGAAGAGGAAGAAGAAGAAGAGGAGGAGGAAGAGGAGGAGCCTCAGCAGGGAGGGCAGGGAGAGAAGTCAGCCACACCCTCACAGAAGATTCTGGACCCTAACACTGGGGTGAGTTTCTATCATTTGCCACAATCAGAGCCCTGGTCCTGAGAACGTGAAATCCTGAGGTGCTTTCACAATGGGGTAGGGGGTGTCTCCTTAAGCACAGTAGCCACAAACATTTTTTTTTTTTATTGCATGATATTGAGTAAAAAAAAGAAAATGGTTCAGTGTAATGATAGTTACCTATATTTCTTTTTTTCTTTTTTCTTTGAGACGGAGTCTCACTCTTGTCACCCAGGCTAGAGTGCAGTGGTGTGATCTCAGCTCACTGCAACCTCTGCCTCCTGGGTTCTAGCGATTCTCATGCCTCAGCCTCCCAAATAGCTGGGATTACAGGTGCTTGCCGCCTGGCCAATTTTTTTTTTTTTTTTTTTTTTTTTTTTGAGACAGCGTCTCGCTTTGTCGCCCAGGCTGGAGGGCAGTGGCGTGATCTCGGCTCACTGCAAGTTCTGCCTCCCAGGTTCACACCATTCTCCTGCCTCAGCCTCCTGAGTAGCTGGGACTACAGGCGCCCGCCACCATGCCCAGCTAATTTTTTGTATTTTTAGTAGACATGGGGTTTCACCATGTTAGCCAGGATGGTCTTGATCTGACCTCGTGATCCGCCTGCCTCGGCCTCCCAAAGTGCTGGGATTACAAGTGTGAGCCACTGCGCCCAGCCTCATCTGGCCAATTTTTGTATCTTTAGTAGAGCCGGGGTTTCGCCGTGTTGGCTAGGCTGGTCTTTGTTTTACTCCTGACCTCAGGTGATCCATCCGCCTCAACCTCCCAAAGTGCTGGGATTACAGGCGTTGAGCCACCGTGCCTGGCCATAATTACCTATATTTCTATTTATTCCAATATAAATGTCTATTTATAAGTAGCAGTGCTGGTGCATTACGTATATTATAAGATATGCGTAAGGATTTCTGAAAGAATAAACAAATAAGCATGAATAGAAATTCTAATTTTTTTTTCCCCACCCACCAGAAGATTCTCTTGGTGACCCTTAGGAACTGCTCCCCCATTCCTGGGATGGTGGCTGGGCCGTGACTTGGCTTGGGCACTTGGTGTCTGGCCTGGGGCTGGTGGCATCAAGGCTGCCACACCTCCAGTTCATTCATTTGCATTCCCTGTCAGGTTCCTAAGTAAAGCTCCTGGAGAACTTGGCTTTGGACAAGGACTCCCCATACTTACGCTGAATTGGGCTGCTTCTCTGGTTTACGGAAGCAGTTAAACAAATGGCTAGGTGTGCCTCAATTCGGGTTTTTCTCTGGGCACCTCTGGTGCTAGCAGGGCTTACCCAGGCTGGACTGTAGTTCTCCGGGGACCCACTTTGGCCCCCATGTGCCTCTGTAGTCGTCGTTGGTTGGGGCACTGCGTGTCATGATGAGGATCCACTTGGTCGTATTTATGAGTCTCAGGGAGGTGGCTTCCCCCTGACCCCAAAGGCTCCTGGAGCAAGAGCCATCCAGGGCCAGCATCTCTAGGTGATGTTGATAGATGGGAAATGCAGCTGAGTGGGAGGAGGAATTCTAGACTTTGAGCCTAGATGGGCTGGAGTGAAGGGTGGATGTGCTGGGTGTGGGGATGGGCACAGCTGGGTGGGGAGTCTGGGGTCCGGAATTCTCCAGAGCCTCTGTGCCTCCACTTCGCAGGAGCCAGCTCCCGTGCTGTCCCCCCCACCTCCTGCAGACGCCTCCACCTTCCTGGCTTTTCCCTCTCCAGAGAAGCTGCTGCGCCTGGGGCCCAAGAGCTCCATGTTGATAGCCCAGCAGGTAATAACCACACCTTGCCCCCCACCCTGTACTTGCCGTGGCTTCTGGAGCTGTTAGAGAAAAGGGACGAACAGCTCAGGGACCTGGGGGTGCGACACTGTCAGCTGGGGGCAGGGAGGCTTGGCCTGCCACTGTTAGAACACACAGAAATGTCCAGGGTATTTATAAGCCTCCAAGGGTTGCAAATGTTCCCTCCTCACTCGGCCTACAGAAAGTGCAGCCCGCCAGTTGCCATGCTGACTGGGGTTAGGGAATTTCCTCAGGACTCTTGCATGTGCCCACCCCCTCCTGGGCTTCTCTCTGCATGTTCTGTCAGCCCAGCTGCTTGGAGAACAGCTCTGTTGCCCGGGGCCCCTCTGGGAGTGGCGTGCCTGTTGCAGGATGGGTGAGAACAGCTCTGTTGCCCGGGGCCCCTCTGGGAGTGGCGTGCCTGTTGCAGGATGGCGCCCTCACTCCAGCCTAACTTGTTGGCTGGCTCATTCATTCATTCAGAGGTGATCTTTGGGGCATCCATTTTCTGTCAGGTACTGTATTTGGGCATGATTTTATTTAACCCTCTTGACAACTTGAAATGTAGACTTTGCTGCCCTTATTTTACAGATAAGAAAACAGAGGCTCGGAGGTATAGAGAAATAAAATGGGCGCACTCTCAGCGTTGGCTTAACATTTCGGCCAATTGCTTTGTTAGGTTTTGCCTGTGTTCTTTGTTTCTTTTAACATGATAAATAAGATGATGTAAGCCTTTTTGTGGCCTATCACTTTGGTTTAACACCATTCATCACTTTCTTGTGCCCGTAAAACTTCTCATGATTTTTATTCCAATGCATGGATGTAGCACTTAAAATCCAGGCACTATTTCTGGACGTTTTCCCTGGCCCACTTTTCCCTGTTGTCAGTGAGGTTGAGGTAAACTTCTCTGCATGTGAGTATCGTCTACATCCTAGATTATTTCTTCAAGATGGGGACCACTGGGTCCCTGAAATGATCTTCTTGTGTGTGTGAGACACTGTTTTGCTTTGTCACTCTGGCTGGAGTCCAGTGGTGCAATCGTGGCTCATTGCAATCTCAACCTCCTTAGCTCAAGCAGTCCTCCTGCCTCAGCCTCCCAAGTAGCTGAGACTATAGGCACACACCACCACCCTTGGCTAGTTTTTTTCCTTTTTGTTGACATGGGGTCTTGCTATGTTGCCCAGGGTGGTCTCAAACTTTTGGCCTCAAGCCATTCTCCCACCTCAGCCTCCCAAAGTGCTGGGGTTACAGGCATGAGCCACTGCACCTGGCTGGGATGATTTTTCATCCTTGTTCATTCACTCATTCATTCCCTCTCTATGCTGCATATTTGCTTGCTGCAGGCCAAGTCCAAGCCAGACTCTGAAGGGACAGCATGGGGTAAGGCAGGACCTGTCCTTGCCTGCCAGGGGCCTGTGTACTGCCTGGGCCTCTCCTAGCTAGTGGCAGAGCCCAGGGACATCTCCCGCATGTGCCACAGGCCAACCATTATCTCTTATGTCCTCAGACTGACACGTCTGACCCCGAGAAGGTGGTCTCTGCCTTCCTAAAGGTGTCATCTGTGTTCAAGGACGAAGCTACTGTGAGGACGGCAGTGCAGGATGCAGTAGGTAATGTGGGCTGGGTGAGGCCAGGGTGCCCGCTGGCCCTTGATGCTCGTGAGGCTCCGGTGCCCTTTGTGGTCGCCGTCACTCGTCAGCCCCAGTGCTGTCATGGGAACTGCTCTTTGAGACCCTGTGCTGCTCCTCCATCAGGGTCCTGCCATGGTCCTGCCGTGGAGCCAGCTGGGTGCTCGTCTCCCTGTTTTTCACCACTGAGAAACTCAGGCCTTTCTCAAATCCACACAGCCATATAGAGTTAGAACCCAGAGCCCACTCTAGGAAGGCCAGATAGTCACATCCGCAAGCCCGATGGATGCAGGTCTGTCGGGAGGAGGGATGCTGACAGCTGAGCCCTTGTGTGTACCTCAGATCCTCTGTGCTCATGTCCATTCTACCTGGGGCTTCCCTGCACAGACACCTTTCCCTCTAACATTATGGGGCCTTCTCGGAGCACCAGCCCACGTCCCTCCTGCCCTATGGCAACCCTGTCCCCACCCTGTCTGTTTCCTCCATTCCAGCACCTGTCACCTTCCACCCTGTCTCCATGTGCTTGACTGAGGCAGAGGGGAGGAAGGGCCCTGAGGCAAGGGGCGCGGCTCCTGGAAAAGGATAGAAGGGGTAGAAGGACATGTGGTGCCTCTTCCTGGTCTCTACTGTGGGTGGCATTAAAGTGGGGAGGGCAGCTCAGTGGGAAGGGAGGCTTGGAAGGAGGTGGGGACAGACACAAGCCTGCTCCCTGAGGGCCTGCCCAGGGGCATTTATGGGAATAAGTTGCTCTAGTTCTGTTGCCCAGGAAGCCTAGCACAGTCCCCGCACATCCCCTCACCCTGCCAAAATAACCTGAATCCTCCCCCAGTGGTGGCCTGCCTCAGGAAATCTCCACTCCCACGGTGTGAGGTGGGCACAGTGGGTGTCATCCCCACACCCATGTTACACCTGAGGCCAGGATGGGGAAGGGCCAGAGTGTCACAGCTGGTAGATGGACTGAGCCCATCCCCTGATGCCAACTGCCCCTCCCTCTGGTTCCTGTGTCTCTGCCATCCCTCTTGTGTTCGCCTCTTCGTCAGGGCAAGGAGGCAGGCGAGCCTGTGTGTGTGCGGTGTAGGGGGAGCCTTGGGTGCCTTGGCACAGCGCTCTGCCGTAGCCAGCAGCCTGCCCCTGCTGCTTCTGCCCTACAGATGCCCTGATGAAGAAGGCTTTCAGCTCCTCGTCCTTCAACTCCAGCGCCTTCCTCACCAGGCTCCTCGCACATATGGGTCTACTCAAGGTGAGGCCGGAAGGAGCAGCAGGCCTGGGAGGGAGGTGGGCGGGGTCTGCACAGAAGCTGCCCCAGCCATGCCCGCCAGCCTCCCTCACCTCGAGTCCTGAGTCGTCTCACCCACTGGGCCCTGAGGCCTGGGTCCGCCCCAGCAGCCTCGGTCTTCATGATGAGCTTCCGGCTGGACTCAGTTGTGAGCACCGCCCGCAGAGTCTGGATGGTGGAGTCCAGGGGCCGCCCAGGTGAACTTGACGCTCACCCCGCCTTTCGCTGTGTTCCCCTCACAGAGTGAAGATAAGGTCAAGGCCATTGCCAACCTGTACGGCCCCCTGATGGCACTGAACCACATGGTACAGCAGGACTATTTCCCCAAGGCCCTTGCACCCCTGCTGCTGGCATTCATAACCAAGTGAGTGCGGCCCTGTTGTCCTTCTGCCGAGGCCTGTCCTCTCAGGCTTCTCTGGCCAGGTCCAAAGGCCTCCAGTCCCAGGAGGTCCAGCCCAGCCAGCCTGCTGGCCCTGCTCGGGTGCACAAGAGTCCCTCATGCTTCCTGGGCTCTCAGCATCTGTGTTGGAGTCTCACCACCCTCGGGAGGCCCGCTCCCCTCTGCCCAGCTGAGGACAGTGGGGCTCAGGGGCAGTGAGAGAGGAGACATGTAACGCCCCCATTTTGCCGATGAGGAAAGGAGCACCGGGTTGGTTAAAGAGTTTCCCTTGGTCACACACTAGGAAGAGGCTGGGCCAGTGTCCAGACCCACGTCTGTGAGCAAGGTGCTATGTGTGGTGACATCTCTAGAGGGGCTTTTTGTCCATGCTCACAGTAGTGCAGGCCGAAGGGGCCCGGTCACACTAGGCCCTGCAGCCCCAGGCCCTCTCCTGGGGACACACATTGCCCCGGGAGCCGCCAAAATGCCCGGCAATGTAGGAACTTTGGCCTTGTTCTGGAGGGTCCTGAGGAGTCCTGGGGCATTGATGGGGTGATGGGCACAGTCAAGTAACAGAGCCAAGGCCCCACCAGGGAGGGGGCGGGAGGCTTGCCCCGTGCACCCTCATGGGGCCCTGTGTGGCCCCTGGCCAACCTGTGGCCTTCATCAGGCCTCAGTCTCCCCATTTGCCCAACCGGAGGGTTAGGTGAAATTGTCTCCAAGCGCCCTGACCAGCCACACTTCCAGTCAGTCGGCGCCATCCGGGGAAGTGGGGCAGGTAGAGGAGCAAGAAAGTCCCTTTGCTGGGGGAGCCCAGAGCCCACCGGCCGAGGCAGGATGCTTGGTGCATGTGGGGAGGCGGGGCTGGTGGAGTGTGAGCAGCCCTGTCCACCCCAGCGTCTGGAGTGTCTGTGCGCACGGCGCTGTCTCCTTAGCCAGGCCTTACCTTCTGGCCGCGTGCCCCCACCCAGACCACTCCTTGGGCTGCAGCTGGACTGGCCTTGGTGAATGGCAGATCTCACTGTCCCCCTCCTCTGCCAGGGGCCAGGTCAAGCCTCACTGTGAATCTCGTGGCTGGCCACAGGCTCACCCTCACCCCACCCCACCCCACCCCAGCACAGTGTGCGCCCCCTGAACCCCTTTCCACAGCAGTGCCATTGCTGCGGTGCTGAGCTTTGTCCATGCTATCCAGAGCTTGTTTGGCCAGTGGCCCCAGCCCCCGCCTGTACCTGCACCCGAGTCCTTTGTGTCCTTCCTACTCCCTGGTCAGAGTGGTTCCCTCTGCATCTCTGGCAGCCCCTGTGCTGTCCTAAGCCTGGGCATGAGCCCCTCGGCCCTGTTAGAGCAGAATGCCTTTTCCCAGCTTGTTGCCCAACCTCCAGCACAGGCCTCAGTCTGCCCCCCAGGTCTCGTCCGAGGTGACTGATTAACTCTGTAGTGACATGCACGGCCCCTCTTCCCTCAGCTCCCAGCCAAATTGTCTGGGATCCCAGGCCTGGCACAGATCCTGGCCTGTTCATCAGCTACAGGCCAGAGGTGTTGTCAGGCCTTGTCCTGGCTGCGTCCCACACTTGCCCAGTGCCCCAGAGTCTTGCCTCAGTTTCTTTCTTTGCAGTGAAACTAATGATATTGAGGGCAACAATGGGGAGCTCAGGCGCAGTGGCTCCTATCTGTAATCCCAGCACTTTGGGAGGCTGAGGCAAGATCACTTGAGCCCAGGAGTTCAAGGCCAGCCTCGGCAACACTGGTGAAACCCCGTCTCTACAAAAAATACAAAATTAGCTGGGTATGGTGGTGTGTATCTGTGGTCCCAGCTACTTGGGAGGCTGAGGCAGGAGGACCACCTGAGCCTGGGAAGTCCAGGATGCAGGGAGCCGTGATTCCAGGACTGTACTCCAGCCTGGGCAACAAAGAGAGACCCTGTCTCAAGAAAAAAACAACCAAAAAACAATGGCTAGCCATTTACTTATGACCCAGATTGGACTCTAGTGGGCCAGTCATGTGAGGCCACTGGCAGCCAGTGAGGATTCCCTGGCCTATGTCTGCTGGAAAGGCCCTTGAAGAGCCTGGCTGAGGTGGGGCTGTGTTGTGGCCAGCTCTGGGCTGTGTGGCCTTGGGTGCCTACCTCTCACCCCTCTTACCCCCACCCACAACGTGCAGTCTCCCTTGCTGAGTCATCAGCAATGTCTCCCTTGCTGAGTCATTGTGCAAATTAACAAAAATGAGTCTGGTACCAAAATGGCCCCCACACTTGGAAAACGGGGACCAAGAGGCATCCATCCCACCTGCTGACCCTTCTTTCCCCGCAGGCCCAACAGCGCCTTGGAATCCTGCTCCTTTGCCCGCCACAGTCTGCTGCAGACACTGTACAAGGTCTAGACTCAAAGCCTCTCCCATCCCTTGGCCTGGACCAGTGAGCTGGGGAGGGACTCGGAGGAACTGAGGCACAACCCACGCCATTGCCTTGGACAGAACTCTGGTCAGAGGCAGGGCGGGTCTGTGTCCCGTGTGTCCTGTCAGTCCCCTGAATATGTGTGTAGGTGTGGTACGCGTGCAGGTCTGTGCCTTCTGTCGGGATTTGGGTTTGAACCTCTCTCTGCTGGCCTGGCTCTGCTCTGTTGTGGGGAGTTGGCCCCCAGGGGAAAGGACTGTGAGCTGCTCTGCCATTAAACTCACCTTCACCTGACGGCGCTCTGCTGATCTCCGCCTGGGCCCTGATGGCTGTCCCCACCCACCTGCCTTCCAGCCCGGCTCCCTGGCGGAGCCAGAGCCCAAGGAGTTGCCCGCGTGCTGTCCTTCCCCTCTGTGTTGTGACTGGGCTGTTTCCTGCCCTGCTTGGGGCTGCTTCTCATCACCAAGCCCTGGTCCTGCAGCAGCTGTCCTCCCTACCATCCATGCCACTGTGCTGAGCGCTCAGCCTGAAGAGCAGAGAATACCATGGGTGGGACTGTGGGGGTGGGATCATGGGGCTGCTGGCAGAGGGCAACCCTGGGCCCCATGCCGTGTGGCCAGGCAGACACCAGATTGTCCAGGAGCAGGAGCTGCTGGAACTGCGCTGGCCCCGGACCTAGCGGACCCTCTCCTGGCTGCTGAGATGTTGTCTGTGACTGGCCTGGGGGCCAAGCTGGAGGGGGTGTGTTGACAACCCAAAGCTATTGTCCAGTCTGTGGAGGGAGGGGCAGGGTCCCCAGTGTCGGAGCCGTATCTGGACGCTGCTCTTAAAGGACCTCCTGGGGCAGGGGAGCAGTGGGGTCTGGACTGGGCAGATGCTGTACAACCTCCCTGTGTGCCCGTGACTGCCCCATGCTTTCCCCTTTGTGTTCTGTGTGTGTCTGGGCTGTGCCCGGGGGCTTCACAAATAAAGTCATGTATACAGCTTCAGAGACTCAAACTCTGACCTAAAGCGGGATAGTCTCGGGGGCCATGATACGTGGAGTCCCACCTCGGCAGAGCACACGGCCCCACAGCAGTCTGTGAGGGCAGTCAGCCCTGCGAAGGGCCCGGCCTCAGCCTCAGGCCACCACCTGGGCAGTGGCAGTCCTGAATGAGGACCCATTTTCCTGCCTGGCCACACCTCACCCAGCACCCTGCCTTTGGGCTGCAGCTCTCTTGGCTCCTGCGTTGTTCCTTCACTACAGCAGCCACCTCCCTTGGGGTCCTTTGCTCCACTGCCACATATGTGAGGGCAGCCCAGCCAACCTTCCTTATCTCCTGCCCTATGCCATGTGTGTGCTTGGGGAGCCCATGTCCCCCACAAATGGCCTCCAAGAAGAAGTCCCTTGGCCAGGCGTGGTGGCCCATGCCTGTAATCCTAGCACTTTGGGAGGCTGAGGAGGGTGGATCACAAGGTCAGGAGATTGAGACCATCCTGGCTAACGTGGTGAAACCCCGTCTCTACTAAAAATACAACAAAAATTAGCCGGGCATGGTGGCGGGCGCCTGTAGTTCCAGCTACTCGGGAGGCTGAGGCAGGAGAATGGTGTAAACCTGGGAGGCGGAGCTTAGAGTGAGCTGAGATCGCGCCACTGTACTCCAGCCTGGGCGACAGAGCGAGACTCCGTCTCAAAAAAAAAAGAAGTCCCTCGAGGGTTTCTTAGGGGGCAATATTTTCTTATTGGCAGTCGACCAGGTGGCAGAGGGTAGTGCCGGCCCTGCCCCCATCCTCTGTGTGAGTTGATACGGTAGGGGGTGGGTGCAGGGCTGGTGTTAAGTTTTGATATATGTTACGTGGATGAACTTTGAAAACATTACGTTAAATGAAATAAGCCAGACACAACAGGACAAATACGATTGCATTTAGATGAGGCATCTAGAATAAGCAAATTCAGAGACAAGAAGGTAGAGGTTGCCAGGTCTAGGGGAAGGGTGGGATAGGGAGTGAGGCTGAGAACACATTCTCTAGGATGATGAAGATGTTCTGGAAATGGAGAGTGGTAATGGTTGCATAACATTGTAAATGCCACTGAATTGTAGACATAAAAATGGTTAAAATGAAAAATTTTATGTATTAATATATTTTACCTCAGTTAATTTAAAAAAAATAAGCAGGGAGGGATTGCATTGGGAGTTATACCTGATGTAAATAACGAGTTGATGGGTGCAGCACACCAGCATGGCACAAGTATACATATGTAACAAACCTGCACGTTATGCACATGTACCCTACAACTTAAAGTATAATAATAATAAATAAATTTAAAAATAATAATAAAAAAATAAAATGTTTAAGTTTAAAAAAAAAAAATAAGCAAAATTATAGAGCTTCACCCGGGCGCGGTGGCTCACGCCTGTAATCCCAGCACTTTGGGAGGACAAGGCGGGCCGATCACTTGAGCCCAGGAGTTCAAGACTGGCCTGGTCAACATGGCAAAACCCCGTCTCTACTAAAAATACAAAAATGAGCCGGGTGTGGTGATGCACGCCTGTAGTCTCAGCTACTTGGGAGTCTGAGGTGGGAAGATCACCTGAGCCCAAGAAGTCCAGGCTGCAGCAAGCCATGATTGTGCCACTGCACTCCAGCATGAGTGACAGAACGAGACCCTGTCTCAAAAAAGAGAGAGTTTGTAGGAGATAGTGTAGGTGAGTATCTTCAAGGCCTTAGGAGTAAGGAAAAGATGTTTGCCATTATTGTGGGATGTTCATACAATGGAAACGATGCAGCAGTGAGAACAGGTTTCTGTTTATCAAAATATTCATTAAGGAGTACAAAGGCAACTTACAGACAGGGAGAAAATAATTGCCCAAACTCACTCTGTATATATAAATGGGTGTGGGGGGGATAACTTTTTTTTTCAAACAGGGTCTCATGTTGTCCAGTTTCTTCTATCTTGGCTCACTGCAGCCTCTACCTCCTGGGCTCAGGTGATCCTCCCACCCCAGCCTCCCAAGTAGCTGGGACTATAGGCACACGCCACCACACCTGGCCAATGTTTTGTATTTTTAGTAGAGATGGGGTGTTGCCATATTGCCCAGGCTGGGAGAATTTCTATAAATAAAAGACAATGGGAAAAAGCAAAAAGCTCAAATGGGCACTTTACAAAAAGCATGTGAAAAGGTGCTTAATTTCATTAGTCTTAGAGAAACATAATCCCGGTGTGACACTCTTCTGCCCGCACTAGAATGGCTAAAATACAAACGACAGTACCAAGCTCGGTGAGGATTTGGGGCAGCTGGAGTGGCTGGCGGATGTGTAAATTGGCACAACCTTTTTTTTTTTTTTTCTGAGACAGGGTCTTGCCATGTCACCCAGGCTGGAGTGCAGTGGTACGATCACAGCTCACTGCAGCCTCGACCTTCCAGGCTCACTCAATCTTCCTGCCTCAGCCTCCCAAGTAGCTGGGACCATGTCACAAGCCACCATCAGGCTGGTCTCGAACTTTTGGGCTCAAGACCTCCCACCTCAGCTCACTTAACAGGCATGAACCACCATGCCCAGTTACAGTGTTCTTTCTAATAAACTCATGCTGGAAACAACCCAAATGTCCATCACTAGAGAAGTGGGTAAACTACTTGAGATACGGTGAGGTACCAGGAAGGCAGGAATGGTCTGCCCAAGAAGAAATACTTGAGCATTGACATTGTTTAGACTTGCCAGCACATGATAATAAAAAGCAGACCAACTTTAAGTCAGTTCCATTGTATCTCACTTCTCCACCGACAGCACACCACTTATTGCCTGCATCGTGGGCAGATCACCTCCCACCCCTGCCCCATGCTACTGTTGTCATATATTTATAGAGTGGAAGGCTGGAATGCTGTATTTAAAAGAAAAAAAAAATTTAAAATAGATGAGTCCAGGTGCGGGCTCACAGCTGTAATCCTAGGACTTTGGGAGGCTGAGGCGGGTGGATCACTTGAGGTCAGGAATTTGTGACCTGCCTGGCCAATGTGGTAAGACCTGTCTGTACTAATAATACAAAAGTTAGCTGGGTGTGGTGGCAAGTGCCTGTAATCCCAGCCACTTGGGAGGCTGAAGCAGAATTGCTTGAACCTGGGAGGCAGAGGTTTCAGTGAGCCGAGATCACACCACTGTACTCCAGCCTGGGCAACAAGAGCTAGACTCCGTCTCAAAAAAAAAAAAAATGAATCTAACATAATGTTGAGTGGAAAAAGCCAGACACAGCCAGGTACAGTGGCTCATGCCTGTTATCCCAACACTTCGGGAGGCTGAGGCGGGAGGATCACTTGTGCCCCGGAGTTCAAGACCAGCCTGGACAACATAGCAAGACCCCAACTCTACAACAAATTTTAACACTAGCTACCGGTGGCAGTGCGCATCTGGAGGTCCCAGCTGCTTGCAAGGCTGGTATGTTGAGGCCGTAGTGAGCCATGATCACACCTGGGCAACAGTGAGACCCTGTCTCAAAAAAAGGATGAAAGAGCAACACTGAAGTTCCATTGATTGGAATTTGCCAAGCAAAACAAAGCACAAAGCGGATGTCTGTGTGGCATGGCACTATTTCTTTTTCAAAAATGTTACTGCAGGGCCGGGTGCAGTGACTCACGCCTGTAATCCCAGCACTTTGGGAGATCAAGGCGGGCAGATCACTTGAGGTCAGGAGTTTGGGACCAGCCTGGCCAACATGGTGAAACCCCGTCTTTACTAAAAATGCAAAAATTAGCCAGATGTGGTGGCACACACCTGTAATCCCAACTACTTGGGAGGCTGAGGCACGAGAATCATTTGAACCAGGGAGACGGAGGTTGCAGTGAGCCGAGATCACGCCACTGCACTCCAGCCTGGGTGATACAGTGAGACTCTCTCATAAAACAAAAAACCCTGCAGTCTAGGAAAAGTACACACAGATGTTCATTGTATTACATATATAAATATCACACACATTTATATTTTTATTATATATAAAAATATACACACATATAAGTGTGTGCACATGCACGCGCACGCGCGCGCGCACACACACACACACACACATATATATATATATATATTTTTTTTTTTTTTTTTCTCTTGAGACAGAGTTTGTGTTGCCCAGGCTGGTCTCAAACTCCTGGGCTCAGGTGATCCTCCCACCTCAGCCTCCCAAAGTGCTGGGATTACAGGTGTGAGCCACTGTGCCTGGCCCCTGTTTCCAATTAAAGGAAACAAACAATAATGGAAGATACAATTCCATCAGAAACAGGAATCTGAAAAATCGTAAGATATATAAACATTGGCCATGGTCTGGATGTATTATTTAAAAAACAATCATGAGCCTGGGAAGATGTGTATTTGGATATTCTTTGCAATATTGTTTGTAAACAGCAAAAAATTGGAGGTAGCCAATGTCCAAGATGAATGGCTAAGTCAATGTGATACATTCACACAATGGAATACAGTACCACAGAATAAATGAGATTCAGAAGAATCAATTTGGATAACTCCCAGTAATCTGAGGTTAAGTGAAAAAATTGAATGTCTAGAGTCCTGTATGCCCAGTATTAAACAATGTATGTAAATGCATAAGCACAAACAGATGGAAGGAAAGGGTCACCTGTTCTGGAGCACCCACTGTGTGCCAGGTGCGGGCCTGAACCCCCACTGTGACCTCAGAGCTACTTATGAATGGGATGTGTTTTTCAGAGACTAGGAAGCAGCCTCTGGGAGGGCAGCCCACATGGCAGGAGGGAGCCCAGGACTGCTGACTCCCGGGCCACTGCTGGTGCCCCCTCCCTGTTGGGCTGGCCCAAGGATTCGGGCCCAGGCCTCCATCCTGGGCTGGGGCAGGCAGGAGGCCTTGTAACTCCAGCCGCTGCTCCCGCCCGCTGCCCGCCCCTCCTTCACCTCAGCCTGGGGAAGCCTGGCTTGCCTGGTCCACCGACAATGCCTCCCATTCAGCCCTGTCCCAGCTGCCAGGCCTGCGGGCCGCGGAGGGGGGCTCCCACC